ATCAAGCCTTTCTGCAATTACCGATTTTGCTCTAACATGATCTTGACAGTATCGTCATCGATCAAAGATGGCCGATCAAAAGTGTGACTCATCAGGAAGGTCAAAATCACCTATCTCAAATTTTTATATATATATATTAAAATTTATATTAAAATATATATTAATTATTTAATTATTAAATATATTCAAATTAATTAATATGATAAATCGATACGCAATAATAATATATAACGTTTGATATTTTATATATGTAAATTTTAATATACATACGTAGATATTGAAATAGAAAGAATATTTATTCTTATTATCTATTAGTATTTGAAAAGAAAAATATTCTTTCTAAATGGTTAACATTCTAATTAAAAAAATTCTTTGTAATCTGAATATGATATATAAATCGATATCATTCAAATCGGTAAGACACTTTTACCACCGGTAAGACTCATACGTGTATAAATACATATGTTTAAACTAAAATGGCTCGTATATATATTTATGGTATGCACTATACGTGAATTGAATCAACAAATTAAACTATTCCGAACAGCGGAGACATGGAGACACGAGTGATGATTCAGGAAGTATATTTCACTGATCACCTTTGATGAATTATAATTAAGTTCTAGTTGTAAAAAAAATCGATACTCTAATAAAAAAAAAAATTTTAAGAAATTTATATAATTTTTTTTTTCTTTTTCTTTTTTTTTTTTTTTTTTCTTAAATACTTTTACACAAAGATTTTCAAATTCGCAATAATCCTAGTTGCGAGGTGATCCCGAAACAATTTTAAGCTCAATTGAAATAATTTACATGATTCATGAATTTTTTTTTTTTTCTTTTTTTTTTTTTTTTTTTACTGATATGATAATGACAGAATTGAAAGTGTATTTTTATACCTATCTATTATTGTTTTCGAGTCTTCAAAAAATATACAGCATCCTTTTTGAAGTTAAAATTATTCATTCTGTATAAATGTCAACTGTGCCCGACGTGTAGGGCATATATTTGAAATTATTTCGAGATATGTGTTAATACAACAACTGGGATTAATCGTAAATAATTTTTTATTCATTGAAAAATTTATGAAAAGAGAGAGAGAGAGAGAGAGAGAGAGAGAGAGAGAGAGAGAGAGAGAATCTTTTCCTTTTGCTTAGAAAATAATTAACATTCTTTAATTCTAATTATGATGATCCTATTCTTTCCTATTTGGTCTTATTCAATTCTATTCGATCTTTTTAAATTCTATTTGATCCTATCTGATCCTATTTAAATCTGTTCGGTCTCATATATTTTCTTCTTTTTTTTTTTTTATTTTTTTTAATTCATTTTTTGAATTCATCGATTCTTTTCGATCTTATTCAATACTGTTGGATTTCATTTGATTCTTCTCGATCATATTCGATCTTCTTCGATCCCCCATTCTATCTTATCTGATTCATTTCTATAATAATAATAAGAAAAATTCATTTGGAGATCATTAGTCAGTATTCTTCTAAACTTTTTCCCTTTTTATTTGTATTTCTATTTATTTATTCATTTTATTCCTTCCTATTTGATTTTACATTATCGAAATTAAAAAAAATGGCGTATATTTTAACATTTAAACAATTAATCGTATTGGACTAATTTAAACAATTTTTTTATATCGCAAAAGTTTTAACAATTCTCATATCGTACAAATTTGAATTATTTTCATATTATAGAATTTATTCGACTGGTAAATATTTTCCCGCATTAGAGAAAACATTAAATACGTGTTTTAATTAAAAATATAATTAATTATTATTATAATATATATATATATATATATATATATATATATATGCGTGTATAAACTGTAAGATGATCATTTAACGTGCACTTGTGTAATGTTTTGCAATGAATTAAAAAACTTGTAATAAAATTCAAAGACCGTTCACGTTTTGTTTTCAGTTAAGATTAAATGTCGTGTCATGTCGTCATTTGCATTTAAGTAAACACAATTTATGCGAATTGTTTAGATTTTTATTCTTGCATAATGTTAGATTATAAATCAGTGGAATATCATTTTGTCGTCATCGTTGGTAAGGCAAGTGAAACGTGTTTAGAAAAATCGATCGTTTAATCGCAAAAGTGTGAATTAAAAGAATCTATACACGATATCTTGAAGATAAGGAAAAAAAAAAAAAAAAAAAAAAGAAAAAGTAAAATAAGAAGAGTGTAATCGTCGAATAAATTTGTTCTTAATTATTATTATAATTCTCACGTTCCAGTCAAATTTATCGCTTGACAATCGACAACGTGTTCTCGATCGATTTATATACTCGTTCGTATACAAGATTATTATTACGATTATCGTCTTTGATTAATCAATGATAAAATGTAAATTCGTAATTATTTCAATATATTTTTACGACATATTTAAGATAAGCTTTTATACGGTTTATATTATATTAATATAAAAAAAAAATATATATATATATATATAAATAAATAAATTTTATATTTATATACACAATGTTGTAATATATTATAATTGTACAATAATCCTTAAAAATATAATGTAACAGGATGTAAAAAAAAAGAAAAAACAATCGTTAAAAAAAAAAAAAAACAGATAGGAAAAAGAATAATTAAAGAAGAAAGAAATTGTATAAAAATAATATCAGCGTCTAATTAAAAAAAAATTCGCTTACTTTTTCTTTTTATTTTATTTTCCACCTAATGCAATCATTTTGTCGGAATAGAAGGAAATGTAACATGGAAATGAATCGTTCGTAATGGTAAGTTGGTCACAGATAAAGAAAACAACTCGCATTAGACGCTCCTCTCGTAGATGAAAGATCATCACAGTCGACGTGGTTTTCCACTTTCGTTTACCGTTCGCACTCCATACGATCTATATATACACATGTATACATGTATCTATCCTAAGTATATATGTATATATGTACATATGTATGTAGTTCCAATCGGGAGCATTAATGTCTTAACAGGGGCGTATCTCCATTTTTGGTTCCTTTTTGCACGTTTCTTATATATTCCTTTGTTCTTTTATCATTATATCACTTGGGATGATTTAACGATCGATGACGTAAAAAACGCGCACAAACAAAATGATAATTCTCATTCAATATTACATATTAATAATGAAAAATATTTCCTTTTTCTTTTTTTATTTTTCTTTTTTTTTTTTTTTTTCTTCTTTTTTTTCTCCTTTTTTTTCCTTTATCGAACTCCTTTTCCTTATTCTCATTTCTCTACTATAAAACAGCGGATAATAAATTGCGACAAAATTACGGCTAACAACAATGTATCTTCTTTCCATATTTGATAATGCATATAAAACAGTACAAAGAAAAAAAAAAAAAAAAAAAAGAAAAAAGAGAAGGAAACATTTCCTTTTCCCTTTCGTTTAATATTAATTAAAAAATAAAAAAAAAAAAAGAAAGAAAGAAAGAAAGAAAGAAACAGTACTACTAATCGAATTTTCCAATTTAATTTCTAATTAATTTCTAATTATCGCAATTTTCATTATTAACTTTTACGTATTGATTTGAAAGAAGCAAAACGAAAAAAAAAAAAGAAAAAAAAAAGATGACGATGAAATTTTATAATTGCTTTTATAATTGGAAATTATTATTTAAGGGTTAAATGATATATATAAAACGAAGAATATACAAATGGAATAAAAAGAGAAACTCGCGACAAATTGAAGGAATTGCCCTCACTTCTCCCCCTCCTCACCCTCCGTCACCTCACTCGCTCCCAACTCCATTCCATCCGACTTCTTCACCCACATTAATACTTTCGATTGTACGTCAGGAAAGTACGTAGTAAGTAGACGTTATGGGGGAGAATACTCGAAAGTTTTTTTTACGTGTTCGTCCACGCCATTAAATCTGCATTCTCTATGTCAACGTATGCATATACATTTGCAAAACTTACACACAGTGCGTATAAACGCACACGTACATATATTCGTACTAAGATTAAATGAGCATAAATTATTCCATTGATCGATGATAAATCATTAAACGTTGTTTTTAACGATTTATTTAATCATGCACTGATTTATCATTGCTACCTACTTTATATTTATTTATTATTTTCGAGAAAAATATTAGTTTTTCTATCTTAACAAGTAAAATCAATATCATGACGTACGGATTATAATTGTGCGATTAAATCGATATGTGATATAAAAGTAAAGATCGTGAAAAATAGTTAATAAAAAAAAGAGGGAGAAAGAAAGAGAGAGAGAGAGAGAGAGAGAGAGAGAGAGAGAGAGAGAGAGAGAGAAATAAAAATAAAAATATTCGATTTATTAATTGTTGTAATTATAATTAACAGCGGTAAATGTTTAAAGCATGGATACGATTTCTCTTTAAAAAAAAAAAAGAAAAGATGAAAAAAGAAAAAAAAATCGCTAAATAGGGAAATATATAAATTTAAAATGGTTTTCAAAATGGTTTTCAATATATTAGTTATAATATTATAAAATAATAATAATGACAGTAATGATAATAAAAGTAAAATATCTGAAGGAAAAGATATATACAAATCAAAGAAAAAAATATAATATTAATATATACTATTATTAAATATAATATAGCTATTATTATAATATAATTATATATATTACAATATAATTATATAAAATAACTATATGTTATAAAATTGTAATAAATTATTTAAGAGTTTAAATATATATATATATATATTTTTTTTTATTATCTTTATAATATTCCGTCAAATTTTAAAATATATATATATATATATATATATATATAATTTTTATATATATATATATATAATATTTAAACAATTTATATCTATCAGCTTGTAAAGATGAATAAAATGAAATACAAGGTGAATGATGTAAATAAGAAATGAAAAGAAAGGAAGAAAAATCGATAGAGATGTAAATAAATATAAGAAAAACAACATGGAGACACTCTAAGTAGCGACGTCTATGATTTCTTGCTCGACATTGGTGAACAGAGACACGACAGTACACT